TCAACCAGAATCCATGTCACAGCCTGAGGTCCACGGGTTCCCCTTCATCCCTGCCTCCCTCACTCCAGGTGCGAAGTCCAGGTGGGAATACCTGGCTGCCAAGAGTAGGTCGTGTGTTTGTCCAGCGAGGGTATCCCAGACCCTGACCCCGGCTCCCCAGGCACAAGAAGGGCTCTGAGCTGTGGGAAAAATAGCAAGTGTCCACTGTGACTGCTCTGTGATGCAAACCCTCCAATGCTCTGTGCTTCTTTAGCAAAGATACACTGAATTGAAATAACAAGTTTGAAAACTATAAACCAGTGGGAAACAATCTGATTATAATAGTAGAAGAAATCCACATAGGCTGAAATGACCCAAGCCAGCACACGCAGGAAGGTCTCTGAGTGCCCCTCACTGGGGGGGCAGCTCCCCACCTGAGATGGACAACAGACCCAACCAGACCACAGACACTGACTCACAGGAGAGCCAGCCACATGCGGGAGATACCAGACCTGCACAGTTAAATAACCACGATTAAAAACTTCAAGGATGGGGGGGAGGGTGTGGCTCAGTGGCAGAACGTGTGCTTAGCATGTACAAGGCCCTAGGTTCAATCCCCAGTACCTCCATTAAAGTCAATCAGTCCATCACCTAATTACCTCCTCCCAACAAAAATTTAAATAATTAAAATTTTTTTCAAGGGATTAAATGATAAGATGCTAAATGTCAGCAGTACACTGCAAAGTATAAAAAAGAAAAACCAAAAAGAGATGACAATGATAACTGTAACTAAAACTTCAGGGGTAGCGTTGGGAGCAGATTAAAAAGCTTTATCTAAGAGAGAATTCGTTAAGAATACCAGAAGGAAATATCCAAACTGAAAAATGGAGAGAGAAAGAGACAGAAACACAGAAAAGAGCGTAAGAGACGTATTAGACAAGTAAAAAACAGCTTTAAAATATATGGAACTAGAATCCCAGAAGGAGTGGGGAGAATTAATGGCGAAGAGGCGACATTTAAAGAAACACTTGAAACTGACTAAAGACTCTGACAAAGCCACAGATCCAAGGACGGCAAGTCCGAGCAGCAGAAATACAAAGACCAAATCTAGGCATGTTACCGTGAAAGTGCTAAGAACAAAGCGACAAAGAGAAAATCTTAAAAGAAACCAGAAGGGGAAGAAACATGTGTTACCTTCAAAGGACGGACAACAAGACTGACGACAAACTTGCGTCAGAAACGCCAGCAGCCGTAAGACGTGAAATCGTGCCCCCGAAGTGCTGGAAGGGAACAGCTGACCACCAAGCAGCCTACATCCTCCAAAGACGTTCTTCAGAAATTAACGTGAACTGAAAATGTTTCCAGACGACAAGACCAGCGCACACAAACTGAAGAACAACCTTCAGGCAGAAAACGGTCTCAGACAGAAGCGTTGAAACGCAAGAGGAACGAGGAACACGGGCAAGAGTAAACACTAACATCACACAGCGAGTGGCGGCGGACAGACTGGGTTTCCACGCGGAGCCAAGGCAGCAGCCTCCCCCCGCTGGCTGATCACCAGGGAAACGGCCCTTTATAGAAGAGATCTCTGGCCACGCGCTCCTTAACCCCGTGATCAGAGCTCGCACCGTAACAGTGGACAACCAACACCCCATGTCTTCACGTGTCTCCTGATGTGACGCAACATGACGTCCACAGCATCGCCCCGAAGCAGAACTCCTCTGACTCCCGTCGGGCCCACGGATCTAACAGACAGTTGGCGGGAAACACTCGGGTAGAGGGACAGCGTCAACACGTAACGGGGAAGCAGACCACCTGGTGGCTGTGCAGCTCTGCACAGGTGGCTGAGTTCCTTCAAAACGTCAATGTCATTTTTAAAAAGGAGGAGGAGGGGAGGTGGAAGAATGGCTCTGGACAAAAAGAGACCCAAGAGACACGGGAAGGGGGGCTCTTGTTCGGATGCTGCTTAGGACAGAGCAGGTGTGAGAGACACTTGGGGACAACCAGCAAAAGCAAACCTAGACTGCACACTGGGCAATGCTGGAGCCGTGGTTAACTTCCTTTGTTATAATAATGGTCTGATGATGACGACGTGGGAAATGTCCGTACTTTCTAGAGACACCTACTGAAGTACTTGGGGGCGAGTAACAACCAGACTTTAAAATACTTCAGCCAAAACAAAGTAGGTAGCAGATGTGTCAGAGGGTTAGCAACTGTTTAAATCAAGGCAATGGCTGTGTTCACTGGACACATCATTGCTCTCTACTTCTCTGTATATTTACAATTTTTCATACTGAAAAATTAAGTTTAGGAATAACCAAAGGGAAAAGCATAACAGCATCGCCCTAACGGGGCTGCCAGGGGAATCGGAGCTAATGAAAAAAAAGTGCTTGTCCCTGTGCCTGACACGTGGTCATTAACCACTACCAGTCCTTAGTAATTGTTTCTCAACCATTTCTCAGTCCTTTCACTGAAGGGCAGAGTACAGCAAGAATATTAACAATTAAGGAATGAAAAGACCACAGAGCTAGAGGATTTTTTAATGTGCGTAACTGGATTTGGGTGGAAGGCTGTGTCCTAGTGCGTGTGTACTTTTCTCAGGGAAAAATCCTGAAATCGTGGTCTCCTGCAGCCGGGAATGGGCAGCGCCAGGAGGTGGCTTTGGGGCACCCTCTAGTGGAGACATGTGGGAACTGTTCTCTTCTCAGTGGCTGAGCCTTAGGAGTGGAAAACGCCATCTCTTCATGGAATGTTGATGGATGTCATTTTCCAGGGTTGGTACCGGAGCTCTGTGGCTCGATGGGCCTCTTTCCCAAGAACTGTGGGTGGCCTGCCAGCCCCTCGCTGACACCATGTCATAAAACAATTCAGAGCAGCACAACATGGAGGAGAAAGGCCACAGCATTGCTGGGGATGCAGCCGGCATTTGGGGGCCTTCCGGGGCTTCTAGCGAAGTGACATCACTTGAAAATACGGCAGTGGTGAGAGCTGCTGACCCGTTTTCGGAACCGCTGTCATTCGCTCAGGGCAACGTCTCCATCCCCAGAGACTGGCAAGCTGACATCTCATCAAAGACACCAGAAGATGACAGACGCCCACACAGGCTGCTTGGAGCTGAGGCAGCGGGGTGACACCAACGGGAGATGGTTATGCTCATAATAAAAACAACGGCGGCGTCCATGGACGAGCCTTCGCTAGGGGCCAGGCCCGTATTCCACAACTGACATGGCCTTTCTCACTGCTGCCTCACGACAGCCGCATGAGGGGAGCACCACGATTCATCCCCCTACAGCAGGACACGCCGAGGCGGGGAGAAGTTAGCGCACTTGCCCAGAGTCACGTGACTGCAGGCAGGCGCGCTGGCTCCTGGGTCCAGGCCTCTTTGGCTCAGGGGCATGTTTATAATCACTGTGCCTCTTATGACTGACATTTCTCCTCTTCAGCCTCATGTTCCCTACTCAAAGAATCCTAAGGAAAGAAAATAGTCATCCTGATACAAACTACTATGTGCAGGACAGATGAACCACCAGGCCCTGTTGCACAGCACAGGGAAGTATATCCAGTGGCTTGCCATGAC